CTGAGGGCCTGTCTCCATGGGCAAGAAGGTAGCAGGATTTAAAGCTTTTACAGGAATAAACCATAAGCGGGGTTTCTCACAGAGAAGGGCTTGGTACTGAGAGCCATTGATGCCCCCTTATGTTCAACAGTTTCAAGACTGCGTGTGGAACTTGCACGGTCAGTTCCTCACCTAAAGTCAGCTTCTCTGACTGAGGCACCAAGGCCCGAAGGCAAGGAAGCCACCCTTTCACTACTGAATCTAAATTCTTAGACAAGTATGCCACTCGTTGGTTCCATGGGCCTACTTCTTGGGTTAATACTCTAAGGGCCACATGGTTCTTTTCAGTCACATATAGAACAAAAGGGTGCTTTACATCCTGTATGCCTAAGCAGGGATGGCTGCTAAGGTCAGTTTTAGTTTTCTTAAAGCTTTTTTTTTCTATAGCCCAAAGTAAATGATTTTTTTCTTTTCCCTTTAGGGCTTCATAAAGAGGTTTAGTGATCTCTGCAAAACCAGGAATCCAAATTCTACAGAAGCCTTTTGCCCTAAGAAACTCCCTCAGCTGTTTCTTATCTCGTTCATCTTCCCTTTTGTTCCTTCTCTCTGGCTGACTCTCGATTCACATACACTTTCGTAGCCAATTGTAGCAACTGTGTTATATTCATACCCTCCCAAGTTTCTTGCTTTTGAATTTTCCTTCTAATATCTTGAGCTGACTGGATCACAAAGTCGTATTGATTAACTGATGGTGATCAGGAACAGCAGGATCAAAAGGTATATACACTCTGTAAACTTTACAGAGCTACTCATAAAATCTCTCAGGGCTCTCATCGGGCTCTGCCATGTTTCTAGCACTTTAATCATATTTGTAGGCCTTTTACTCGCAGCTCAAATCCCTGCCAGAAGGGCCATCTGATAATTGCTTAAGCTGTCCTGGCCTCCTGGGGTGTTGGTGTTCCAATTGGGCCATTCATTCACTGGAAATTGCTGTTCATGTCAAGCATCTGGATTTTGTGTGCCTGCCAGCATTCTAGGAGCATTGATCTTTTTAATTTCTCCTAAAACTCTCTGCATTTCTTTAGAGGTTAACAAAGTTCTACAAAGTTCTTTACAGTCCTCCCAATTAGGATAATGGGTAGCAAAGATGGAATCAAATAATTGAAGCATTTTGGAGGGGTCTTGGCAGAGAATAAATGACTTCCTTTTTCTCTGGACCTAGCCTTCTTTGTCTTTTTTTTTTTAAGTCAAATCTCAAATACCGCACCTTGGTCTGACATATTTGTGCCTTTTCCCAACAGTCTTTTTTCTAACTCACTATTAAAAGAGGAGGTCATATTGTAACCTGTTGGCTCTTAAACCCTTTGAAGATGACCAATGAACACATATTATAGTAACATATTTAGAATTTAACCCTTTGATGACAACCAATGTAAATATATTTAAACTTTTCATAACACACTTGAAACCAACAAACAAACATACATATTTTTTGATAAATCATTTTCGCACATCTTTTGACATACCTAGGCCTTCTGGTCTTGTATTTTTTTAAAAACCTTTCTAACAAGACAAACATACAAAATTTTTCATACCAAAATTTTATCTCTTTTACTTATAGCTTTTTAATATAATTTTTATCTCACTATAGACCTTTTATCACAAACTTGTCTTTAGCTGTTAAAATTTTAAAGTGTCCCTTTTTTGTTCTCAGATTGTTACACTTTAAATTTGGTTGGCTGCCAATAGAATGGTAGTAACCTTGAGGGTTTTTTATCAACAAAGTACAGAAAAGAGCAAGTTAACCCTAAAATTACAACTGAAGAATTTGCAATGTACAAGAAATACTTTAAGCACACCAATTAAACATCAGCTCAAACTGAAACACAGATACATTTATCAATTAGCTAAAATTTGTAACTTGTCAAACAAACACAGATACATTTATCAATTAGCTAAAATTTGTAGCCCTTGTAAAATTTCTTACTTTCTCTGGCTTTGTTTTATGCCCTTTAGAGCTTTTTTAAGCTGTTTTCAATTCATTACTTATTTTCTCTTTTTAATTTTTTTAATTTGAGTGTAAGCCCTATTTGATCCTCTCTGAGTCTGACCACAGCATGGTGCTCTGAAGCCAAGCAGTTCTCATGCTTTTGTCCCCACTTCCTCTGAACCTGTGACTTTAGCAACTCAAAAGGAGGGGGAAAGTCTAAATTCTCTTGGTCTGGATCTGAAAGGACCAGTTTCTTTTTAAACATCATCCCCTTTCTGACGGAGGACCAGGATATTGCTTTTTGCTTCCGGGGCACACATATGAAGCCAAGGAGGCATTCTGTGGCACAATTTGAGCCAAAATCAATATAGGGAAATTGATCTGGATATTCCTGTCCAGGGGTGGTGACTGTTAACTAGACGGATCAGATGAGACCCTCATCTAGGGATCTCTCAGTTGGCCAAGCTAGGCAAAACTTGGGCCATTCTAACTCACAAAAGGCTCTAAGTTTTGGGGTTTCATCTTAATAACATAATTTCCAGCAAAACCTTTCTTAAAATTCTTAAACATGCTTTCCAAAACAGTAGGATGAGATGTTTCTGTCCCCACGATCGGCCGATCAGAGTGTTGGTGTGTGTGTGGGTACCCTTGTATGGAGACACAAGGCAAACAAAGGTGGGAGATCACTTTCTCGCCTGCCTGGCTGCAGGCTTCTCAGCCATTTTAAGGTCCATTCAGGCTAAGGTGGGTTGTCGCCTAAGCTCATCATTGTGCCTTTGTTAAACACGACCACACACAAATTCTGCAACTCAGGGAGGACTCTTTAAGCACAAGTGCTTTGTCCCTCTGTCTTGTTCTGCAGCTCTTTCCACACACTCTCCTATCCAGAACTCTTTCACTCACACATTTATTCAGAAGTTATCACATTCCCTCCCAGTGACCCCCTCACCATAACCAAAACAAATGAAAGAAGCAACCTCCCTAAATGGCAAAGCACAAGGGGTGATCAGGCCCATGTGCTGTATGTGCCCAAAGTTTCAAAATACAGATTCACAAAGCAAAACCAAAAGTTAACGACTAAGGGATTTCCCAGGGTTTCTCACCCAGCAAAGGAAAGAGACAGATGAGACACCAAGAGCAGCAGCCCTCCTTCTGTCATCTTCCATCTCAGGTTCAGGCAATCCTCAGCTGGTGAGCAGGTCTCCGTGTCCTGTTGGGGAGCCTAGGAAATTAGTCCCAGGGGCACGCCTTTCAAGGAGATGGAGAGCCACTCCCTCCAGTGGGGTTTGGGCCAATGCCCAAAAGGGCTATTTCATTCCTGATTCCCGGTCAGGGAACCAAATGTTCCAGAAATCTCAGAAAGAAATGCATGGAGACACAGAATTCAGGTAAAATAATAAAAGTTCTACTTGCTGCAAGCAGCCAGGACCACGAGAAACCAGTCTGGTTAATATCTGTGTGCCTCTTTGTTCAGTGTTTCCCTTTTTATATCCTTTTTAGCCATTATCTCATCCCTAGTGGCCTTTGATGTGTAAATACAATTCCAGTTCCTATTTACAAGTCACAGACACAAGATAGGCACATATACATTGTAAATTCACCCAGGCATTACAACTTTGTTAGGTTAATGAAGTTACTGGTTAAAGAGTCAGATTACAGTCACCTTAAACAACTGAGAGTTACAGGAAAAGCAAATCTTAAAGGAACACATTACTTATTTTGCTTCTACAATTACCTTAATATTCAATCTACTAAGTTATCTAAAACTTTTCTCTATCAATGAAGTACCAAAAACTTAGTAGCCTAAAGGATTAAGGATTAAGAATTTGGATATAATGTACAGTCTCTCATGAAGCTCCAGTCATGCTGTTGGCCAGGTCTGGCATCATCTCAAAGCTTAAATGGGCTGGTAAATCTGCCTACCAGCTCACCCACGTGGCCACTGGCAGCTTCAGAAGCTTAATTTGAAAGCTCACTCACATTTTTGCTGGTGAGCCTTGGTTTGTCACTACATGGTTTCCTGTGTAAACTTATAATGTGGCAGCTGGTGAAACAAGAGAGGAAGAGATGGAAAACAAGAGAGAGGAGAGAGGAAGGCACAGAGAGAGAGAGAGAGAGGAGAAAGAGAGGCTAGAGAATGCCCAAGAAGGAAACCTAGCTTTTTTACAATGTTTTTTAAACCTAATCTCAGAATAATAACTCATTACCTGTTATATTTATTAGAAATGAATATTAAGTATACATAAATACATGAATGCCAGGAAACAGGTATCATTGGCTGCCATTTTAGAGGCTGTCTTCATTAATCCCCTTAATCCTCTCTTATAGTATCTGATCCATTTGACTTCTATTATATATGCAATAATCAGTGATTTTTTTCTACTTTCTGCTTTCTTTCTTTGTTTTTATTCATTTTTAAATTGTATTCTTTTTACTTTCTCAGAAAATGTAATGTTTGAATATTATTCTTATGTCCTTAACTTCATTTTAATCTTAACTGTCCAACTGAACACAAGAAATGTTCATTGTCAGTCCTTTTGCTGAAGTTTTCCAGCCATCTTTTGATGGGATTAAACTAATATTCTAGGAGATTCCCTGGGAAGGGAACATGCTTACAGTATTCCCTGAGGGTTTTTTTGTTTTGTTTTGTTTTTTCATGCTCTGCTTTTTTCTGTAGCCATGACAACTGCAGAAACACTTGTTACAAAAATCCTTGACTTATGCTTCCTGAAATTCTGGAACATGCTGCGCCGCTATTGTCCCACTTAAAAGGTTGCCTTTTCAAACTCCAGTAACATCTAATTCTCTTGTCTTTATAGGCTGTTTTACCTTTTTTGCATGAAAGATATGAGAAATTTAAAATTTAAAGTCTAATAGTTCTGGTGAGATACGACTCAAAATTAATTACTCTGGATCCGTTTTCCTTGGTACTTACTGGACCCTTTTAATTTTCTTTTATTTCTGGAAATTTTTCATGTATTATACATTTAAATATTAATTTCATTCCATTGCTTACTTTTCTTCTTCATAGGCTCCAATTATAGCACGTTGGACCTTCTTTGACTACCATCTCCACCCATGCGTTACTTAACAATGCAGATAAATTTTGAGGTATGCATTAGGCAGTTATGTCAGTATGCAAATGTCATACAATGTATTTACACAAATTAAGATGATTATGATATCACTAGGCATTATAATTTTGTGACACCACCTTTATAAATGTGGCCCATTATTACCGAAACATCATTTATACCACATATATCTATGATGGCATCGGCTGTCTACCATAGTGACCCTTTTTTCTTTTTGAAGGTTTTATATTCATTTTCTTAGATATTTTATTGCTTTAATTTAGTGTGCCTTATTGTATTTTTATTCAAATCCATTTTCCTATATGCATCTCATTCCCCTATGATTTGGTCTCAAAATGCCTTACTGTTTTGTGATCTTTTCAATGGTTTTAATTGATTTTATTTTTATTTTTGTTTGTGTGTTTGTTTTTATAGTATCAGGGACTAAACCCAGGGCCTTTGCTTTGAGCTACAGCTATAGCCCTTTTTATTTTATTAATGTATTTTTATTTTGAGTCAAGGCCTTGCTAAATTTCCCAACCTGGGCTTGAAATTGTAATCCTCCTGCATCATTCTCCCAAAGTGCCTGAATTACAGGCATGTGCCATCATCTGGCTAGTTTTAGGGTTTTTTATTTGACATGTCATCCAGAAGTTTTAGTTTTGCTTTCTTTTAGTATAAAGGTTGAATAATAAACTTTCTATTAATAAATAGTTTTGCTAATAACTCATTAAAACTAGAAACTTGCTAATAATAAATAATTTGCTATTAATAAAAATAGAAATTGTCACTTAGTCATAAATAGACCCCTAAAGTTACAAGTGTCCTGCCAGAGAAGTGTGAGAGGATATAAAAGAGGAAAATGTCACATTTACTTAATTTGGAGAAATTGAGTGACTGCTTTAATGGCTTATTTATGACTATAAATTTCAAAACTTTAAACTTCCTCTTCCCCATCACTCCTCATGCTGCATTTTTGGAAACTCTGTCTGATTGTGAAGGAGGAAGCCTTGTGTTTTTTCTGGTTGAAGGGTTGATGGTCAAGAGAGAGAACTTTTAAGTACATAGATAAAATAGCAAACTATTTAGTTTATTTATCTGGCATGTTTGTTTGTCTCTTTCGGAAGCTAAAAGTGAGAAAATGTGGAGTAGCTTCCTGAGCTCAGTCTAGAGTCCCTTAGTTGGCCTAAAATGGATTTAGATTTTTGGATAAGGATACATCTAGACTAGTTGCATGGAATAAAATCCCTTGGTTAATATATTTGATATATTTCTGCAGATTAATATTTTCTAAACCTTCCTGTATTTGGAAAAGCTTTTAAAAATTGTGACTGATATTCAGAAATTAACTGTACTTTTCTTAAATTTTTTTCACTCTTAGGTAAACAAACAAAATAATTAAAAATGACAAGTAGAAGACTTGAGGAGTCTATGGGGGCTGTTCAGATGGGTTTAATCAAAATGCTCAAAGGATTCCAAAGCAAAGTTTCACCACCCCTGAGTCCAAAGATGGTCACAGAAGAGGAGGTAAACCAAATGGTAATGTGTCAGGAATTTCTATGTAAAATACTTGATGTAGCCTCTTCAGGACAATGTCCATTGCTTATTGGCATTTTAAGAATATTAATCAAAATTACTGACTAATTAAAATCAAGTTAGTTAGAATACTAGTTTACTGCACATCATAAGTATCTTTCAGAGCCTGAAATGTTTTAAAATTGCATATACATTTCAAAGTAAAGGCTTGACTTGCTTAAATTAATTTGTTGGAGTAAGACTGTATGTCTTAGTCCTATAACTAGCCAGCTTGTAAAGAAAAGAGGTTTATTTTAGCTCATGGTTCTGGAGCCTGGGAAATCTAAAGTTGGGTGGCTAAAGTGGTGGGGCCTCATACTACCTCTTTTCTGGCACTCTGAAACCATAGCTCTGTATAAAAAAAAAATTAAGATTTTTCTAAACAGTAGTTAGAACCATGTGAAACTATCCTTCATGTAGTTCAGAAACAGTGAAATGCCAGAATTTCAAAAGATTCAACCTAATTTATTACCTGTACATTAACAATTTATTTTATTTTATACGTTTGTAGAACACAGAGAATTAAAGTAATGGCTAAATAGAACCTAGGAAAAATACATAAGTTTTCTGTGTTTAAAAAATATTTATAGCTTTAATGATTTATAATGATTTGAGAACTGAATTAACTCCATGGTATAGGAAATATTAATAAAAATTATAGTGCTGGGCACAATATTCGCTACATTTTAAAAACTAATTTCATGTTGCATTCCAATTAGGAAAATAAAATCAATCATTCTCTTTTGTGGTGGCTGTTGGTACATTATTTATAGAAACTCCTAACTGTTTGCTTTTAGGACTTCATTATCTTAATTTAAATCACAGTAGAGCTGATACCTCTTAATACTCTATTATTTTAATCTGTGTTCCAATCAAAAAGAATTTAAAAACAAAGTTAAAAGCTATATTAGAAATATGTCTTCATTTAAATGGATTCAATCACAGAAATCAAATTTGTAGAAAAACAAGCATTCTTAAAGAGCATTGACTTTAACCAAAGGCAAAATAAATCAGCTAAATTATATACTTGAACATTTTTAAAAGTCTTGGCATTGCTTAAGCCTTATGTTGCTGCCAGGGATCATATCTCCTTGCATATAAAGTAGGAACACTATGAACATTCTAAAACAACAGCAACTAAATAATAATGATTCTGGCTAATGAATGCCTTGATAGGTTAGTTTCATTTAAATAATAGATTACATTTTCCCCTGTAACATTAGAAATTGTTAAAGCATTTTGTGCTCTTATTTGGGTGTGTGAATGTGCCTGGCTGCTAAAGCTGATGATTAGTTTAAAGCTCTTTCTAAACAATGTCTAAATGTGCTCTTGCAATTTCTAAAACTTCAAACTCATTTCTAAGTAGAAGAATCACATCATACTTCCAAAATCCTTTACATTTTACAAGATTTTCCTTTACCATGATTTAATATGATAGTTAAATACCAAAATAGTTAAATATCATACTTAAATACCAAAATAGTTATATACCATAGTTAAATACCAAAAGCTTTGCTTGCATGTTGCATCTTCAGTTAAGAAACAAAAGTTTTACAAAGAAGTTTTAACTCTCAAGCCCACAAGTGATTTTGAGTCTTATGCTCAGATACTTCTGAGCATAAATGCTAAGCTTTGGATGTGTACCTATGCACTTTCTTGACTTTTTCTCTAGGGTTCCTTTGTGTGTTTCCTTCAAAATTACAAGGGAAGGACAACCACATGCCATTTTAAATTACTGGGCAAAGATCACAAAAGTGCACAAGGACTTCTCTTGTATAATTTAGTTATTTTAAATATTTTATAAAGGAACTTAGTGGCATTCCAGAATTATCCTGAAGGCTGGGATCACAAATTATTCATTACCGGCACTTTTGAATTCATTTTTTTCAGTGTAACCATTTATGAATCTTTGGCTTTTGTTGTTTTGAATTCTAGCTGACACCCTCAGAGTTCCTGAAAGAAATGTCCCTCACTACACAGCAGAGATTAGCAAATACGCATTTCACATGCCGACCACAGATCATCGAACTCTTAGATATGGGGGAAACAACACATCAAAAGGTAAGTAAAGGCCCGGGGATTTAGCTCAGTGGTTCCGGTGCCTGCCTCGCAAGCCCAGGGTCCCAAGTTCAATCCCCGGCACACACACAAAAAAAAGGTAAGTAAAGCCCAGAACACATAACTATTCCAAAATGATAACTAATAATAGGCATTGTTACTTAATCCTTCACTGGGTTTGCTTTACATCCTCCTTTTCTAGCTCTTATCTTGATAGCTATGTTTTGGTGTGGTAAAAATTACACTTAATAAGTGAAAACTATTTGAAACCACTTTTGACACAGTCACACTTTTTTTTTTAACTACTTCTGGATGTGATTTGACACTGTTGCTTATGGGTTAGGGCTAATTCCAAGAATTGTATTAGCCAAGTCCAATTAAGTTATCCTCTTGGCATAATAAGCAATCCTTACTCACCTGACTTGTCCACTAGGAAGGAAGGAAGCAGAGTTGTTTATTGAAGTAGGCATTCGTTGTCTATTTTGGCTCACTTTCAAGAACAAATGTATTCCTTCAGCCTAAGAAAACCAGCTATTTAACATGTTTCTGTATTCAAGTATAAACCATATGTTCTAGGCTTTAGAAGAATATGATTGTAATAGAAAGTCTTGTTTCCTACTCTTTAAATTAATCTCTTAAATTATATGCTTCATTTTCATGCACAAATTATGACATGAATCACCTCCATCAGTTGGACTGCTAGAGATGAGTCCCTTTCCAAAGGGTTCCCCAGCTGTTCCTGAGAGTCTTTTGAGTTGTAGCACAGGAGGCAAATGAGGCCACGAAGTCCCTGTGCTCTCCCTGCTACACCATTGTCTCCCCCTGCCTAGGATCTGCCAAGGATTCTTGGTCCTAAGCATTGCTAGTTTTAATTATTAATTAAACCTTAGCCATCCTGCACATCTAAGGAGGAAGGAGCATAGGCTTTCTTATTGTATAACTGCATAGCAAGTACTGTAAATTCTGCCTCCCCAAATGCATCTTTGATCACACCGCTTCTCACCACTTCCTCCACCACCATGTCAGTTCAAGTCACCATCATGTAGACCACTGGAGAGCCTTCCTGTTTCTATTGCATCCCTCCATTGTCAGTTCTCCACAAAGCACCAAGAGCAATTATAAAAATACAAATTGGTAAAAAAAAAATACAATCGGAACATGTTTCTTCCATGTTTAAAGCTGCCCAATGACTTCCTATTACTCTCATAAGAATTCTAAATTCAGTGCCCTAGATACTGAGGTCCTGTGTCATCTGGTCTTGTCTCCCTCGTGGCTCTTTTCCTTTCTTTAACTGCACTTCACTCTTGCTGCAGTTCCTAAACCATGTGGCCAGATACCCTAAGCTTCACACATGAATTCACAAGGCTTCACGGGATATTTTCAATTTTCAGGGGAAACAGTAGTGCCCCAAACCTATTGGGTACAACACAAACTATTAGCTTGAGGTAATTCATAGTATTGACATTAGATTGTGGTGAATTCCATTGAAGGTATAGTACTTTACAAAGTTGCCTTCCCAGTGGTTGCTGTGCTAAAAAGCAAGCATGGTACTTTATAAAAATCAAAGTAGAACAGGAAATGAAAGAGCTCTGTCCCTCTGCTTCCGTTGTACAGTGCCCAATTGGTGCACACATCCCATTAATAAGTTATTATTATTGTTCTTGTTGCTGCTCCTGTTGTTGTTTTGTATGTAAAAATTCATTTAGGTTAACCACATACATGTTTACCCTTTTATTGCTTTTCTTTTCTTTCTCTGTGAACTCCCAAGATAAATCCCCCTGTCCATAAATGGCACCCTTGGTATTTCCTTTAGAATTTATTGACAATAGCTGGGGATTTAGCTCAGTGGTTCCACTGCCTGCCCTGCAAGCCCAAGGGCCCCAGGTTGAATCCCAGTACAAAAAAAAAAAAAAAGAAAGAAAGAATTTATTGACAATAGTTTGCAAGTTTATCTTTCTGAAACTGTCTCAATTTGGACTTCATTCTTGAAGGGAATTTTCCAGGTAGACAACATAGTGTCTAGAGAGTTTTATTTTTTTCTTTTCTGGATTTAAAAGGTAGTGTTATTCTGCTTCTGTCTTATATTAATTATGCTGAGTAGTCAACAAACTTTTTTTGTCCTTGGAAGTTAAATATTCTCTTTTTTCCTCTTTAGCTTCTTTTGCATATTTTTTTGACCTTTGTTTTCAGTGGTTTTATAATTAGATATCTATGTATGGATCTTTTTTAAAATCCTACTTGAGTTTTTAAGGCTTCCTGTAACTTTGTTCTTGGGACTTCATCAGTTACAGAAAATTCTCTGTTATTATTTTATCAATATAGCTTTTACCTTACTCTCTCTTTCTGGGACTCTAATTACCTAATTTTGGGCTTTTTGCTATATTACCTACATACTTACCTTCTCTTCTGTATTTTCTATCATTTTAATCAGTCTTCCTAGTTCTGAATATTCTTCTAATCTTTATCCCAGTTCAGTAATTCTTGCTTCAGTTGTGGTTAATCTGCTATATAAGCCATGTATGTTGAATTAATTTCAGTTGTATAATTTTGAGATGTAGGATTTACATTCTTTTTATTGTGTCTATTGCTCTGCCAAAATTCTCAATCTTGTTTTTTATTTTCCTGTGTAGAGTAAGCATGAATCATATTGCTGTTACTACTGTCTTGTTTCGCTGGTTTTCATATATGACATCCTATTTCCTTATATTTCTGATCATTTTGTAATTTGCATTTTTTGTGGCTGAGATACATTTTTGAAGGTTGTAAAATGTAATAATTGGAAGACTGTAGAAATGATTTGAATGCTGTAGTCATGTTCTCTTCTTCAGGAGAGGACAAATTGCTTTTGCCAGACCTCTGTGAGACCAGTAATCCGGAATCACCTCCTTCATTCATGTTCAAGGCCTGAGATACCACCCTTACTCTGTATCTTACCCCTTCGTGAGTCAAAGGGGAGAAAGTTTACCGGGGTCTCTAACTTAAGAAGCCTTGAAATTTCAATCTCTGTCTCCCCATCTCTGCTGCATGCTCAAAAGTACTGTAGAGATCTCAGCTGCCCACTGTAATGTATGAAAGAAAAAAAAGCCCAATTTTCACTTTTTCTATTCACTTCACTTTCTACCTCTATTTATCTGTTTTCTCCTGGAGCACGACCGTTAATTTTTTACCATTTTGTTAGCTCGCCAGTGCTGCTAAGGAGGTATTTGTGGGGAGTTTTGATTGTCTGGTTGGCTGGCTTTTGTTTTTGCCTTGCTGGGAATCAAACTTAGGGCCTTGTGCATTTTAGGCAAGTGCCCTACCCTGGAGCCACACCTCTAGGCCCAGATATTGGTTGATAAACTTTCCTGATTATTCTCACAGGGGAGTAGATTCAAATGACTTTCTTCATCAGTAATAGAAGTGGAAGTCTAGGTTTGGTGTTCATATTTGCTTATTTTCCTTTTAACTGAGGACCAAACTTTTTATTTTCTTTGGTATTAAATAAGTTGATCACAATAACCTCACTAATTATAATTACCAATACTTATAGTAGGTACCCCTTTATGAATGTTTCCCATGTTCTAGTACTAATACTCACAGGTATATCTTCCCCAGCCACTGTGTTATTATATGAATAATTTACTCTTTCAATTGCAGTTTTCAGGAGTGGACTTGGATCATGCATTATTCCAGCCCTTTCCATCAGAAATCATATTCCAGAACTATACTCCCTGTGAAGTCTATGAAGTTCCACTGGTTTTGAGGAACAATGACAAAGTAAGTATGTTATCTGGGGGTAGATAAACTTTTCCAGGACATGTGAGAAGAGGTTAAATAAACAGAGGATACTGTAGAATCCTGATAAGTTCTTTAATTTGATAGATTTAGTATGAAAACATGCCCTTTGACTGTAAGCTTTATGAAGACAAGGTTGTTTTTCTGTTATTACTGTATGTTCAGGCCCATTTCAGTGCTTAGCAAATATTGAGCTCCTAACATGTGCACTAACATCTTGTTGATAAGGGATTAATTAGATGAATGGTATAGAGTTTTCATGTCTGACTAGTTGAGCTATGTTGATTCTGTGTTACAGATACCATTTTCCCAACTTGATATAATAAACTCTGCTCACATGAATTGCAAACATTAAGCATTTATATCTGCATCTTGCAATACATTTATGTGCTGTGAATTATACTTCTAAAAATTTTCTTTCTCATCTAAAAAATGAAAATCTCTTCCCTCTTTTCTGTCACGTCCCTCCTTTTAAAAAAATTTTATTTTATTGGTACATTTTAGGTATATAATATGATGACATTCATCATTGGAAATTTGCACCTTTACATAATCCCTCTTGGTTCTTATTTCTTCCCCCTTCCCCTGCCCTCCCTTCAACCCCTCCATCCCTGCCTATTTAAAAAGACTTTGTTTCCATTTTTTCATTTTCTCATATTAATTCCATTCCCTTCTTTCCTTTCCCCTAACCCTCCCACTTCCCCTTCCCCTTTGCTCTTTTCTTCCTATTTCATATTATGTATTATACCTTTTAGTCCTTATTTAAACTTTCAGTTTCTCACACTAGAGAAACTATTCAGTATTTACACTTGTGTCCTATTTATTTCACTTAAGAGTATCACCTCAATGTGCATCCAGTCAGCAATAAATGTCTCTAATTTCTCATTTTTTATGGCTGAGTAGTACTCCATTTTATTTTAAAAACCCACATTTTCTTTATCCAGTCTCCATGATGGGCATTTGGGCTGCTTCCAAGCTTTAGGTATTACAAACTATGCTGCCATGAACATGGCTGCACATATATCACTATGGTATGAATCTTTTTAATTTTTTTTTTTTTTTGGTACCGGGGATTGAACTTGGGTCCTTCTGCTTGCGAGGCAGGTGGCAGAACCACTGAGCTAAATCCTCGGCCTGTGTGGTATGAATCTTTTAATTCTTTTGGGAAGATACCCAGCAGGGGTATAGCTGGGTCAAATGAGACTTCCAGTCCTAGTTCTTTGAGGTATCTCCATACTGATTTCCACAGTGGTTGCACCAGTCTACACTCCCATCAGCAGTGGAGCAGGGTTCCTCTTTCCTCTCAGCTCTGTCTGCATTTGTTATTGGTTAATTTCTTGATAGCA